CGTTAGGGTAACCCTCCTGCCAGGGTAACCCTAGCACTAGGGTTACCCTACCTGCTTGTAAACAGGGCCTTACTGACCAAGTGATTACGAATTAAAGCCAAACGTGAAAAAAGAAGAGTCAAAATAAAAATAATAAAACGTATAGAAACAAATGCTCATATTCAGTCCTGCTCACAATTAGTCCTTTTTACAGTTGTGGGCTTGGTGGCCAAGCCTTTGAACAGGAGTAAGGCTAAGGGTGACCTTGTTATGATAGAGATGTTGCTGCTTTTCAAATGCAAATTTCTTTGTTGTCATGCTAACTAGATACAGGTCTCTATCACAACAGGGTCACCCTTAGCCCACTCCTGTTCAAAGGCTTGGCCACCAAGCCCACAACTGTAAAAGGGACTATTGGATTTAGTGAGGACGCAAAATTCATGTATGATGAGTTGATATGAGAGCAGGGAACTCCGACGTTGACGAACCTGCTTATCATAGTCTTCAGTTACGAAATGTTTCTTGAGGGGAGCAAAAAAACTTGTAAATATATACACTTATCACATGGTCAATATCATATGAAGACTTGAGCAGAATTATTTAGCCCTTGCATGTTTTGACAAGATTTCTGAATATACTCGTGTTGGTCGAGTCTAGTGTCTTTCTGACATTTCCTCCACAAACGATCGCGTTTTATCTTCCATTCGGGTCCACACGTCATCTCCTTGTTGGAATGGGGGTTTCCTCATTTTCATCCGGATCAGGATGTTTCCTAAGAAATCTGGTTGTCGCGCTGATGCATCTTGGTAAAATCCACGCGGATAGTCGCGATCCAATTCCCGAACCTTGGCGAGCACCCTTTCCTTCTCCGCCAACATGTCAACGGCGTCTGAAAAAAATCTGTCGATGAAGAACGAGAGAGTTTTTTAAGATTTGGACTAATATAAAGAGAAGTGCTGTAAATTACTTCCTTGTGGGTTTTACCTATTATCTGACAATTAATTGTCTATCTATACCGACTTCCATGTGGTCCGTCATGGTAAAGATTTCGAGGTTTCGTGATAATGCACAATCGTATTACCGCTTGCTTAGCTTTTATTACGTATCACGTGGGACTGTATTTAATATTCTACTTGTCTAAATGAAACCGGAAGTTAATCGAAATAAATGTCTACCTGGTCAAATAGACGCATTCACTGCATGACGGTCCGTACAGAGCAGCATACTTCATGAAGACGGCGTCAACTCTTGCAACTAGATCGTTGTTGAAAGACGTAAAGTATTCGAGCATGTGTCTACGCTCTTTCTCCTTTTCAGCTTTCTCGGCATTCTCTACCGACCCAAACACAGATGGCATATGAAGGTGTGCCAAGCTGGCAGTGGAATCTCTTAAGTAACTAGTTAACTGATTCATGTAGCCTTTAACCGCGTTTGGAATGGTGACGAGCGGACTGGTATATGAGTATTCAAAGGGAGCACTGCGCCATGGAGGAATCAGATCCAGATCCCAACTCACGAAGAACTCATCGCCATCAAGATCCCCTCCCGAAGATTCGTCGGCGTGTGGTCGGCTCCCTCTAGTAGGGAACACGATGCAATCACTGAGATACTCGTATTCTTGGAGGTTTTTCATGAGTTTCAAGACACGAATGTCACCAAGATGATAACAGGGATTCCGAACAACAATCACTTCTTGAGCTGCTTGAAACTCTGCAATCTGCACCTCGTCAAAGAGAGTTGGCTGAAAAACGCACTGGCCATACTCAAGCTCGTTAAATGGATCGCATGCACCGAACACTACCCTTGAATTTGGAACAAGAACTCTCAGCTTACACTTTGAACCCTTCGTTTGACTGGCATCGTCGCTTCCATCCCTAGGGCATTCTTTCTGCATCTTGCGAATTTCTTTATTACGAAGACTTTTGAGTTCCCTTTGGAGGCGGTCACTTTCCAAACCATTTTTGTGCAACCAATTGAGCAATTTGTGCTCACCTTTGATCCGCAGGTAGTACTCAGCAGATTGTTCACTGCTGCAGACCTCTCTGAGCAATGCATGAAAATCATTCTGCAACCCAGTTAAGTAGCTGTGCAGAACTCCGCTGTCCGCTAACAGCATCGTAATCTGCTTGTTAAGGTAGCCAATGGTATAAGGCTGGGAACACTTTACGACACCGAACGTGGTGCAAGTTCGGCGCATTTGCTCATTCGGAATTGTAAATTTCTTCATTGACTTACGAAATTGTACCTTTAGGGAGTCGTCTAATTGTGGATTGAGGAGCAGGACGCCTTTAAAACCTTGGTACCTGACTTGTACCACACAAGGTTTGCTTTCAAGGCGTCGTACATCTTGTATTTTCACAGCGAACGAATCTGACATAAAACCACATCCATCGGTAAAAATATAATTTCCGCGTCTGATGTCATCGATAACATCGTACTCGTGCTCTTCCAGACGTATGCTTTGATTGAAGGACGAAAATAACAGTCCAATTCTTTTTGCGCGCTTGGCGGTTGATTTGATTTGAGAAAACTTGCCAAACTCCGCAAGCAGTTCGTAAATGTGTACCTCCGAGTCATTCATTAGGAAACAAGTTCTCTCCTTGAGTTGAGAGTTGGAGTGGCCGAGGAAGCGGTAAACCTCGCCACTAAAAAGAATACCTCTCTTTAAGATGCTCTCTGAGTAGTCAGTGTCCTCGCCTCTTTCAGGACGAAAGCCCACTGTCATTAGCTTGTCGATCACTTGTGGACCCTTGGCAGACATTACGTATTCCAGGAAAAGGGTGCTGCCTTCCACTTTGTTGTACCTCATTGGCGGTCGCACCCGATTTCCTTGAATGTCAAAGTGTTTCACGTATATGGGTGTTTCTAAGTGGTCTTTAGGAGGTGTTGTTATCATATCAAGTGGTATGAGGTATGAGTCCATCGTTTAGATTTTCTAGGGGAAGAATGGGAAGTTATGATCATTTCCCTTATTTTAAAGGGTGTCCGGGAATTTGTGGCTCCGTTTCGAAACAAATCTCAGAAAGACGAGACAGCTTGAAAATGTTTTGTTTTCAAGGTTGGTCGCTAAATATTGGGCTTTTGTGCACTACTTTCGCTAAGTGCGGCTACCATGTTGCCCGCAATTCTCACCTCAAACGAGCAGAATTGTTGTGAAATAGGTAATCGATTAACTAATTAATCTGTCCTTGAGAATGTTTGCCTAAAAACTTGGTACCAACACGAATATGCAGTCGAATGAAGAACTTGTAACTTGTCCCAATTTTTTTTCTTTCTTTTCTTTTCGCTTTTTTAATTATTTTTTGCGAATTTGATATCATACTTTCAACATGAGACAGAAGAAAATATCCCTCAAGGATTAATATATAACAATATTTTTAGATTTCGGAGCTGTTTTAAGTCAATTTTTGCGAGAAAATTTTCTGCTATGGTGTCACACCCTTTTGTTTTGTGCCTGAGAGGGAGGGGGAGGGGTAGACACTTAAAGGAAGCTTTGGGTGAGGGTGACTTTTTAAGGCCTACAAACCCTGCTCCTGTCTAAGAAACAAATTCGGTTATCTGAAAACCCGTTTAAAGACAACAAACTCTCTAAATTTTGGCATATCCACTTCAAGGAATCATCTCTACCATATTAGGACAGAAGTGTTTGGACTTAAACATCAATACAATTGCTTGCCTTTCACATGAAAACCGGTCACTGCCGAATTCGTATCCTGTTCGAGGCTTCCGGTCAAGAAAGACCCCCTTTCATGAGGCTGCCAAATCAGAAAAATTCCATGCCCTGTTTAAGACTTAAAACCCCAAAACCACTTCCTGTTCGGTCTTGTTTGGCGACACACTCCCGTTAAAGCCAGATAAAGGAGTGCGTCTCCCCCTCCCCTCCCCCGCAGGGTTTGCTGGTGTCTCCTTGTTGTTGTTGTTGTATGAGTTACGCAGAGTAGGCAAAATGTAAATCTAATGTATCAGCAAAATTTGGAATAGATTCAAATTTCAAATAGATCTAGAGCAGAACTTAACAGCTATTATTAATATGACTAGTACAACTGGATGTACAGCACCGAATAGTGGCAGTGTGTTCGACGATTACACCTCGGCGTTCCAAACGTGATCACTAAAAAATATCAAATACCACCTTTTACAATTTTCCACTTTCGTCTTCCGCTTTTTTGTCCTCCGGAGTTTGCCGTCCGGTATGATGTTTTACAAACGCCTTGTGTTGCACCGAGGTAATTTTTTTCGATGAGTGATTTTCTTTCGATACGAAATTGCTCAAACATCAGCACGTCGCATGTCGTTTCGCAAATGTTGCTGATTGTCACAATTTCCTCCGCCGAACATTTTTGGTAGTAGTAATAACGCTTTATATCTTAAAAAATAGTTTTTATGGTTCCCCGATGATTTTCGTCTGCCGTGAGTTTGTAATGGATGACATTTTGATCCTAAAAGCACAGTCTCCTCGTTAAGATTCAGACATTTATTTCCGTATATTTACCGTACGAATCTGTTATAATTTTTCCTTACCTGGCCTTCAGGATCTTTCTCGGGGGTAGAGTTTTGCTACTTTTCAGCCAAGTTAGTTCCCAGGTGACTTTCAGAGCAATTTTTCGTGGAGAGTAACTCGAATATGCCTGAGCAACGTACTTAAGACATGCAGATCACAGGAGCATTCAAAACTTTCTCAGAAGTCTTTTAAATTTCCGGTCGTGATGAGTCCTTTTTACAGTTCCCGGCGCCATATTGAATGAGTAACCGCGCAAACATGATAGCGAGGTTAGTGTTGAGTCGCGTTGCGAGTTCTAGTGAGAGTTTAGTGAAATGTGGTGGTGCTCTGTCCTTTTCATCGAGATATTTCGACAATGAACGATACTTTCCCTACGCAGGATATTCCTCCTTCTTCTTCGAAAGGAAGAGGAAGACACTGTGCCGCTTTTTGGTTGTGCTAATAGCTATTATGACACAGCAGGCAATCCAACAGGTCTGCATTTCTTCTAGTTTCCGAATGACTTCCAGCAGTGAATCAGATGGTGCAATCTCCTGAATCGCCAGCATGGAAAGGACGGATTCTTCATCACAAAATCAATTTTTTTGTGCTCAGAACATTTCAAAAAAGAAGACATGCGAAAAAACGTGGGCAGGTCGCTGGAAATTGGTGAAAGGTTTATAATGTTTNCTGTTGTGTGCTGTTGTGTGCTGTTGTGTGCTGTTGTGTGCAGTTGTGTTCTGGTGTGTTCTGTTGTGTTCTGTTGTATTGTGTTGTGCTGTGTTCTGTTGTGTTGTATTCTATTGTGTTGTGTTCTGTTAAATTGATATGACAAACTGATCAATTGATATAACTAATTGATTACTTGAGTATAACTGTGCATACATCTAAGCTCGGTAAAGCAGATCGTTCAGTGGGTAAATCATGTGTGTAAAATAGACAATGAGGGATTCACTCCATTTTCTTGATGATGCACGATTTTCTCTTCTTAATTCTTTGAATGTTTGGTCGTTCGCTCCACCACCCCTTGTTTTAAAAATTCTATCTCGTCCATTTAATTTTGTTCTTATTATTTAGTAATATTTAGCCCTATTTTAAGTGAACTTATTTCGATGTTCCTATCGTGTCCATGAGCATTTTCTGTATCTTTCTTTTAAATGTGATTTCCCATCTGATTGATTCGTACCCATCCGATACATTGTTACCTTCTATTTTTCACGCAATGTGATGCTTAGTTCCAGAATTTATCCTTTTTTAAACGCAATTTCCCGAGACCTGACGTCGCATGGTAAAATAGTAGCTCACGAATTGAATTTCTGATAACTAACAATTATTAGTTTCTTATCCTTCGAAACTGCGCTATTAAAGTATTAGGGAAATAGAAACAAAAGAAAATTCATTTCTTTCATTTTTCTTTCTGATTTTTTTTTTTTTTTTTTTTTTTTTTTTTTTTTTTTTCATGCCGGAGTAAATTTTTCGCAGGAAAAATACACTGCTTTAACTTTGGACATTATTACTTTGGAGTTCAGAAGTCTCTTATGGGGAAGGTGGGAAGGTTGGCTCAAAAAGAGGGGCCGTGAAGAGCGCGGTCGAATCGTCGCGAATTCGCCATTACTTCAGTAATCACTAATCATATCTTCAAAAACTGTTTAATTCAAATGTTGTTCAGGTTTACAAACTGCTATGAATATGCTCAGTTCCTACCGCCCGGATATAACTCTGAAATTGGAATATTTGTTTCCCTACCTAGTTCGCGAATTAATCAATATTTATTTTGAACATTACTTAAACACATATCATAGGTTTAAATCTTTCATAATACCAGCTTTGCGAAGCAGTTAATAGATATCACATGCATGGCTATATGTAACATTTTTTCTATTTACATTACAATTAATTTAATATTGAAAAGACACACTCGCTTGCTTTGCTAAGACGTCACGCCAGCCTTTTGTTAAGTGAAAATTTTTTCGTGACCAACAGGAAACACCAGCAAAGGCGATAACACAACAAGCTCCAGCTATACGATTAATCAGCTCACTCTTAGAATAAAAGCAGATATAGTTTTCTATAATATACATGCACTTTTTACCAATGATTCTAAATTTGAAAGTGAAGGACAAAAAAAATCGAATTGAAAAAATCTTTCGGCTTAGCCGATACAAACTTTACAAAACTTAAAGTTAATTTGAAAATAGTCCTACATTAGCTTATGATGCAAAACAATGAATACGTTTCAAAAAAAAAATGGGAAGGGAGTTGGACCTTTGTGGTAAATATTCTATAAATAAAAATTATATGTGGAAAATTATCAAACAGGAATACTCTCGAACACACTCTTTTTCAAATATCGTAACTGGTATATACAAAAAGTAGCAATTATGAGAAGTGATTCTATGATAAGTTCGTTTTCATAAGAGAAATTTCCTAAGAGTTTGCCTGTTGTCGATTTTCAATCTATAATCTAATTGTTATCGGTCGAATTTTCAGCCGTGCGCAATGTCAGGGATTCTCGCGAACCAAGCGTCATGCAGAAGGCACGAAAGCAAAAAGTATCTAAACTTTCAAAAAATTTCTTTTTACAGTCATGTTATACGAGGTAACGTATATTTCAAACCGCTTTAGCAGATTTTTTTTTATAGTTTGCTTTTGGTCACTCAGACCGCTGGATATCAATAAGTGGAGTGAAAAGTTACTGCTATCCTCCTCACGGGAGCCTAAGCTTCGCTCTTCTTTGTTTCAAATTGCATTCGCTCAAAGAACACCTTTGCCTTATTGTCGATCATCCTCATTATTTCATTCACAGATTGTTCCGCGTCAGTGGAAAACACACACGATAGTCTGTTACTAAGTGAGTACGAGGGCAATTCCGAACTTATCGGTTGTTCTGCTTCTTCGAGTTGCTTTTCGAAATCATTTGCATCTTTGGTGAAATTAGTGGCTTGGTGTAGCATCTTGCTTAGGCGCCGGCATTCTTTCGATGATGGGCCATTGCTAGTAGCATATTTCATGTATTCTCGTTCAATCTTCTGCTGTGTTTCATCAGTGTATGTAGCAAAGTATTGCAGCATTTCTTCCCGATGTTTCACTTCCTTGCCATGGTCATTTCTCTTGAATTTCTCAGTTACCTTTGAGAGCGATTTTGACGAAGTTCGACGAAGTTTAGCTCCCTTTGTGGGCGAGTAATCGCAAGGTTTCTGGTTCCCACTTGGAATGATTTTCTTATCCCAGCAAACGAAGAACTTCTTTCCACTTAAGTCGCCACCGGAACATTCAAATGCATGAGGTCGTGGGCCTCTGGCGGGCAGCACCAGGCAGTCCTTCAAGTTCTCGTACCCTTCTCGATCATTCGTCAATTTCAACACGCGCAAATCTCCTGGGACGTAACACGGGCTGCGCGTCACCAAAAGCTTTTGGCCGATAGGGAAATTTCTTGCTTCCTCACCAGGGGTAGTAGGGCTGAAATAACACTCACCATACTTCAGCTTGTGTAGAGGATCGCAGACTGCAAACACCACGCGGGATTTGGGAACAAGTACTCTTGTGTAAGCAGCCATTCCCATATCGTCTAGCTCTTGCTTTTGTAACAACTTCAGACGATTTCTCACTCCACTGTCGATTCCGTTCTCTTGAATCTCCTGCAGAAGTCGAAATTCTCCTTTGAAGGAAAGGAAGTATTCTGCGGTTTTATTGCACATGCCCTCCACTAGTTCATGGAAGCCATCTTGCAAATCTTCCAGATTCTGTGCGGACACACCGCGTTCTACCAGCAACATGACCATTTGAGAATTAAGGTAACCATTGACGTAGGGACGCGAGTAATCCACGACATCGACGAAGTTAAACATGCGTGGCATATTCTCGTCTGGGGTAAAGAACTTCTGCATAGATTTGTGAAACTGCACCTTAACTTCTGTCAAATCATCTTTGAGACACAGCACGCCTTCGATTCCTCGATATCGTATGTGGACGGCGCTTGGCTTGTAATTCAGTTCAAAGATTTGTTGAAGTTCTGAAGCAAAGTTTGGAGACATGAAACCACATCCGTCGGTGAAATTGTACGACCTAACTACTCCACCCTTTATATCTGGCTCGACTTTGTACTCGTGTGCTTGTAAAGGCACGGTTCTGTTCAACCCTGAGAAGAGCATGGCGATTTTGCTAGCCCGCTTTGCTAAGTTTTTTTCTTCCAAAAAGTTGCCAAACTTTGACAAGAGCTCATGTATTTCTTCGTGCGAAGCTCTCATCAAATAACACGATTTTTCCTTCAGCTGCTCATCCGAGTGACCCAGGAAGAAGTACGGGCTTTGACGACAAAATATTCCTCTTTCCAGCACGCTTTGGCAGAAGGCATTCGCTTCATCGACGGGTGTAATATTAAACGTCAACTTAATAAGTTTTTGGTGAAAGTCGGGTCCATCGCGTTGTTTCAAGTACTCTGTCAGCAAAGTGCTTTCGAGCTTCTCATAGTCAACTCTGTATTCGTCTCGATCGGTCCCGTGAAATTTGACGTGCAGTATGTGTGCTTCGGCTTGGTGGCCTTTTAAGGGGATGTTAACGTCTGACAAATCTATGCACAGGTGGAAAGCCATCGGATTATTTAGGTTGGATAGGACAAAGTCTTGTCTTCATCCCCTGTAAAAGAACATACCAGTACTCATTAAGATTATGCAAAGACTCATTGAAATCGTTAATATTCATTAGAAGCCTGTCAGCAAAAGGGCAAGGCTAGATTGGAACCAGGCCAACCACGAATACAAAGGGGGCCTGTTATACTGTTTTCACCTAAGATGAAAATGCAAGCCACATTCGACAGACGAAGTGGTAGTTATGGCTTTTTAATCGAACCTAAAGAATTCTCCGCGTGTTAGCAATAACAAGCACACCTGTTGTTGTTTTTTCAATGAACCGTAAAACTGCATGTTCCATGTAAGATCATAGCCACAATAAGCATTCAACTGTAAAGGCTACCTGAAAGGTTTTTTTTTGTGAAGCTGTCAATCCACCTGTGGGAGTCTGAAATTAATTAATGATTCAAGACATTTTTTGTTTTTATCCAATGGAAACTCTCGCATTTCTGTTGATGTTCATGAAATGGCGTCCTCATGAGTCGATGTAACAAGGCGTAGTATTGTGTTCTTTGTGTTCTCGCGAGCAAATTTCATTTCGTTCTCCTGGAAAAGTTCTGAGAGCTTCCTTATCCGGAGGTGAATAATTTGTAAGAGACACTGGTTTATAATAAGAGACTAAGAGTCAAATTCAGTAAAATTGCAAAGGAAACTAATGTGATGAGGTTGCAAAAATACTCATGGGAAGACCTGGGGAAAACCTCGGAATTTCTAAAGGACTAATACGGCCGAAATTGAAAATGTGCAAGGTCGAGGAAATTATTTAGAATTGCTGAAACAATGGAAAAGAATTGGCAAAACAGATAAAGTACAAGGACGATCTCTCTCCCATTTGGTACTCTTGCGCGACCATCTTTTTCTTACTGATTTTTTTAGAATAATCACACTTCCAATGAAGGGACCGTGAAAAAATGACCGTAAATTAAAGAAAAAAGTTGAAGAGAGTTGAAATTTTCAATATTTTACACGCTGAATTTGGACTCACAACATTCTTGCCTGTAAAAATATATCATATTACGATCTCAGAAGCCAGCGGAATTATTTTCCAGTTGAAGTGAACCTATTCCCCAAAACTAGATTTAAATCAATATTTACTGACCTTCCAATCAGTCGTAGCACTCAAATGCATTTTCAACCTCGATTTTATTCCAACCATGGACTACTTCACTTTTAAAGGAGATGAGTTCCCATGGACACTGTAGTGTTGCGTCTGCGGGGAGTATTAAGAACGAATGGCGAAGGACTAACGTTCGAAGGGTCAGCTTTAAAAACTCTTTTCGTTGACGAATTTGCCTTACCAAGTCAGTTGATAGAATCAATTTACTTAACGTTTTTTGTTTACTTTGCCTCAAAATTGCCTTTGTTTGGCCGGATTAAGACCAGCACTGAAATATGTAATTTTTTTTTGTGTGTGTGCGAAGACTTGATCTCAGGAGCTAAATTACGATGGTTTCGTTCCTTCTTGGGACCGTATCGGCCCGAAGTTTCTTCTTAGGTTTGAAAATCATTTGCAGTATCTACTTTGTCCTTGCCATAGCACTTACTTGATTTTTGAACAATTTCTAGTAAGTTACATGTTCGGGTAATTTAATAAAAAGGGGAAGAACGATGCAAATGATATGCCTACTGATATACGCAACTGTTCGAGGAAAAAAATATATATCTGTGGACATCAAAACTGAACCTTTTTGCTTACTTTTTTTTCTGCATAGATGACCCAGCGTTGAAAATCCAATCACGTAGAGCGAGAGATTATTATTTAAAGTCGAACTAGCCAAACTTTCCCACTGCCAATAATTCGGTAAACAAGTAGGACCTTAAGGAAATCATGTGCGCAGCACGCCATAGAGAGGGATAGTTTACCAGATTTCACGCACTCATTTCATTCCCATAACACGATTCCTTCGCCGGAATCTTCTGTAACTTCATTGTAAGACGAGCAATGTTTTTACTCTACCATTATAAAATGAATTCTCCAAACCTTGGACCTCAGTGTCTATTTCATTAAAAGCACGACATAGTATTTCGAAAATAAAATTGTCGTGTTATATAATCCACGAACCTCACGCAACAAGTGATGATAACAAAATGGCAGGAAAATGGATAAGTGATCATATGCACAACACACTTGCGAGCTAAAATTACATAACAGAGAATAAAATGTGTTGTGGGAAGAACGTTGTTTCCACTGTCACGTTTTTTGCATGTTGGAAATGCAGCCCAAAATGTTCAACTTCGTGATCTGTAATCCAAGTCAAGCTTCTACGGCTTTCATCAATTTCATCCCGACAAGGGCATGTCACTACCCGTATTTTCTTGTTTGCACATCGCTAAAATCGACAAATCAACTGGCAACGTTTCTGTTGTGATCTGCACTCTTCAAACATAGGTTAATAGTCTAGCTTTGCGGTGTAAATCATTTGTTTCTACCTTTCGTTATGTCACTGAGAAGTACTTCTGTCGGTTTGCATTTTCTACGTCTTACCAGAGCGAAGTTATGTAGTTTTGACCTGTCTATTCTATCGTTACGTAACCCACTCCTTTAACTCAGTGCAACTGGCTAAGTTAAGTAACACATTCACAGTAATCCAGTCCACGGGAAGGTGACAGTAGAAAATCATATAAAACGAGAAAAAGAAAATCACAAGACATAGAAGGTGATAGGTTACTCAGCTGACGTAGCCTCTCATCTTTCAACTTCAAAAAACACCTTAATTATTCGTGATTTTCTATCTGTCGATGTAAACATTCATTATTGTCTAGTCAAGGGCAAATTTCTAATATCTTGTGGCAGGATGTGCTCCAAAGAATCGTTTTTTTTAGTTTTACCGATTCATTACAACACAAATAGTCGTAACTTATAATAGACTTAATCAAATGTCAATCGAAACTGAATTTTTAAGCTCAGCGTTATCAGTAATCTGGCTCAATAACTGCTGGTGTGATATGAAACAATATTATAGATTGCTTGTCTTACAATCGTTTTTCTTCGTTTCTAGACATTTTGGGCGAGTTTTTCTGGAAGCCGCTTTGTCACCAGACTGAATCGCAACGGAGAGAAACTCCAGTTGAATTACGACTTGATTATCACGAGGATCGGTTAGAATCAAAGGCTCATTAATTTGGAAAATTATTAGAATTATTCGAAGACTCTTGTAAATGTAATACGAAAATGAAACAAGCTCCACAGACAGTAATCATATGATCATCATACACCAAAGGGACTAATGAAACAGCACAAAACGACAGAAGTCTGAACAGGCATCGGGATAAGACTCATACATTTGACACATTTGGTGTTGTGTCTGACTTTGGCACGATAATAAAACGAATTTTTTGCTCTTCCTAAAGGAAGCTGATCCAGAATTTTTTAAACGTAATTATTTTGTATCGAATGGGACAATTAATCCACATTTTATAATTGTGCAGATAAATACGTTTCCTAACAATGGATAAACGATGTATTGTTTTCAAAGTACTTTCGTCGAGAATACTGCTTCGTCATCACTTTCTCGGTTAGTTGTACCACCGCATTTTTTACTCATATATATGAAATATTAATAAAACACATTAACAAATCGTGATTCCTCGGGAAAAAGTCATCTACGCCTTCGAAATTATTCCGACTGGAATCACAACTCTAACAAACAATAAGGTGAAAAATGAACCAACAATCATCTGTTACGTGGATTGATCGACAATTTACATTTTTTTTGAGAAGAACCAAGAATTTTGTTAGTCTGCTTTTTTTTTATGCAGCAAACTTGTCATTTAGTCCTATAGAAAGGTAATCCTCATTTCTTACCTTATTTAAAAAATTTAAACCCTCTTGACCATCTACGGACGTCTCGTCAGAAGCGTATATCGTTTTTAGTAGCTGGGACCTTTGTCCGAGTCCTTTCTGAAAGGTTCAAGTTCACTCGGTGTCTATTAAAGTCAAATGACATCAGCGACAACAAAACCCTCTCTCTTAGCTGTTTCCCAGACGCCCCATGTAAAGTTGTCCGTGGTCGTAACCGCGCCTGGGTACGAGATTAAGTATCACAAATAAAACATCCGGGTTTTTTTAAGTTCCTTGCTTTTTCTCTATTTTATGACCTCACTTTTTTTATCTCGGTAGTGTCTGGAGGTCCACGAAGTACTCGGTCTTGGAAATTGCCTGGAAATTTCTAGTTATTAATTTAGAAAAAAAAGAGGAAACACTCAAGAGTAATTGGCCAAAGTTTGAAAATGAAACATACCGCCTTTGTTAATTTATTCAACCTCCCCAGCAAATATCAGTGTTCTTAAAGGTTTACTCTGTTTTTGGTACACACTCATATTATCCTACAGCTCAAGCATCACTATGAAGTTTTCTCCGAGAAGTCTTTGCCATACTTTGGAAACAAAAGCGTTGAATATCTTTGCCGATGTCTCACTTATACCAGGTCTGTCGCTATCGGGGTTCGAGAGGTTAAGTACCATAGTTACTATTTGAAAGAAAAAATGATTTGTTCATGCCTTGTACCGCTTACATGTGGTGTGACAAGTTTAGTTCCAGCGTGACATTGTTTTATCTCTACTTTGATGGTGCAAAACCTCATTAAGTGTTTGCCAAATCTAGCCGCAGCGATGGGGAAATTAACTAAAAATACAACACTCGAAAGCTGTAATTATTAAACAACGAGTCTTTTCTACATTTAAGGCTAACTCATATGTCTAAGATTAAGATTTTGCCACAAACGACCTCTACACAGACATACTCGTTCTATTGTACGCTCATCATATAACATTACCCATCGATTTTCCACGTGTATGGCTATAATATCTAGAAAAATTCTTATGTATAGTCTCTCTAATACTTTATAATAGAACATAAAGAAGCTAAGAACAGTTTATAGTACATATTTTACATAATTGTGTAGTCAGATGGTAAAGAGCCGAGAAGAAACCGTTGCGTGACCATCCAGCGATGGGTATGCGTGACCACCCAACGAAAGAGTAAGCGCAGCAGCTTCCTTTCTGTTATTGACATACAGAACAATTAGAGTTTCGATCAGTTGCGCATTCTTTTTTTTTTTTTTTCCAAAACGTTGCGTAAGGTAATGTATAGTAAGGTATATTGTAATAATCATGTCGCTCTAACAGGTCTCGAACTAAGGCGAACGCTGTTTTTAGTTTTAAAACTAAACTGATTGGATTAATCCTTGTTAACGTTGTCGGTGAACCTTTTATAAAAGTGAATAGTCACTCTCATGATTACAAAGTTAGTTCAAATTTTTTCCAGGATAATCTTGACTGTTATTTCGACGATGTACCTTCCGCAAAGTAAACGGCTACTATCATGAGCCACCCATAATGAAGCGGATGTCGACAACTGCCCCCATGACCTCCCCCTGAACATTACATGACGCTCTTCCTCAATTAACGCTGCATACGGTGAACAAATTCTTTGGCTTTTTCGTCAATCTTTCTCCATATTTTATCACCATGGCGACAGGAATCTCCTGAGCCACTGTCGCAGGAATCCAAACGTACTGTTAACATTGTTGACTGATTTCTTTTAGGGCTCACTTGCTTTCTTGAGGCTTCACTGATTGCGCTTTTTTTATGCTTCGTATCCGAATCTTTATTCATGTGCTTTGGATCATGGTAAGTAGGTAGACTTCCTGAGGGTTTCCCTGGTTCCATGCTGTTGAGCTCATTCTTCAAATTCTGAAGATCCTCTCCAAGGGTGGTGGCTCGGTACAACATCTTGCTGAGATGTCGACATTGTTTGGATGAAGGGCCTGATGTCATTGCACATTGCATGTATGCCTGTTCGATCTCTTTTAATGTGTGATCAGAATATGTGGCAAAATACTGCTCCATTTCCTCTCGGTCTTTCACTTCTTTGCTTGGGTTCGTTCTCTTTAATTTCGAAGTAACTGTTAGGATAGGGTGAGCTGCAGCTGCAGAGATTTTAGCTGCGATGGAGAGCGAATAGTTGCATGGTTTCTCTTTTCTGCTTGGAAGGATGCTTCGATCCCAGCTGACGAAGAATTTGTTTCCACCCACATTACCTCCGAAACATTCAAAGGCATGGGCGCGAGAGGCTTTGACGGGCAACACCAGACAGTCCCTCAGTTTCTCGTACCCTTCTCTTTTGTCCGTCATTTTCAACACACGCACATCTCCTGGATGGTAACACTGGCTTCGCATCACCACAAATTTCTGGCCGGCAGTAAAACTTTCTGTCTTGTCACCTGCGACAGTGGGATTGAAGTAGCACTCACCGTTGTTCAACTTGTTAAGAGGATCACACACAGCAAACACTTCTCGAGAGTTGGGGACAAGAACTCTTGTGAACGAAGCTCTCTCCATTTCTTCCAGTTCCCACCTCTGTAAACGCTGAAGGTGCTTTCTTATGCCATCGTTAATTCCTCTGTCTTGGATTTCCTTCAGAAGATCAAACTCCCCCTTTAACTGCAGGAAATACTCTGAGGTTTTTAGGCATATGCCTTCCAGCAACTCATGGTAGCCATCTTGTAAGGCCTCTAGATTCTGGGCTGACACACCTCGTTCTTCCAGCAACATAATCATCCTAGAGTTAAGATAACCACTGACGTATGGGCTTGAATAATCCATGACATTGACGAAATTAAGAACCTCGGGCTTTTTCCCATCAGGGTCCCGGAACTTTTGCATTGAGTTGTGGAACTGCACTTTGACTTCTTTCAGATCTTCTTTAAGAACTAACATCCCCTCGTTTCCTCGGTAGCGTACGTGGACGGCACTAGGCTTGTAGTCAAGATTTAAGACGTTTTGCACTTCGGAAGCGAATTTTACAGACATGAAACCACATCCATCGGTGAAAGTATACGAGGAGAAAACTCCACCTGTCACATCTGGTTCGACTTTGTAATCATTTTCAGACAATTTCACAGTTTTGGTAAACGGTGGAAAGAGCGTAGCAATTTTCCTGGCACGCCTTGCCAGATTTTTCTCATCAGAAAAGTCTCCAAACTGTGACAAGAGACCGTAGATTTCTTTATGTGTTGCTGCAATAAAGTAACACGATTTTTTCGCAAGCTGCTCATCCGAGTGGCCTAGGTAGAAGTATGAGCGTTGACGACAAAATATTCCCCTTTCCAAAACGCTTCGGCAAAAGTTGTTTGCATCTTCGACAGGCGTGATATTAAAAGTCAGCTTCATGAGATTTTCGTGATAGTCAGGCCCATCGCGTTTTCTCAGGTATTCTGTCAGCAGGGTGCTTTGGTGCTTTTCATACTCCACTTTAAAGTCATTTTGACCAGTGCCATGGAACTGAACATGAATTAGGTGGATATCATCCCGGGCAGTCTTTGCTGGCCTATGAACGCCTGATACGTCTAAGCAGAAATGGTAGGCCATTTGATGAATATTTTGTAGGCCGATAGGATTCGGAGATTATATATTGGACTCTATATCCTATGATAAAACAAATTCAGATCGTGAATAAATGAAATATACTTACAAACACTGTGAGCGCCGCTGAGATTCCCCAACACACTCAGGCAATAGGCTCATTTCTAGAAAGAGACTCGCGTGCCATATAATTTCAAAATGTAGCACTCTTTCCTTGTTAGTAACTTAAATATGTATGCCCCCTTCAAGACAAGGAGTATTTAAATCAATACCCGTTATACGAAATTATCGATTCTTCATTTAATTACCTTAGGTGAATTATCAAATTATCAAATCATATCATACAATATTGCCAAATTGGAGAATGTGTGTATAATAACTTAAGACACCTGTATAAATTTGTAATTTAGCCGTGGGATTTTACATTGTTCACCCAGTCGGTTGAGGTAAAGTGCTCTGAAGGAATTCATGCTGCGCTCTAACTGAAGTAAATTAAGATAAATGTAAAACAGATATTCGAAACACGATCAGTCCACAAGTCTGGAACTGGATGCTCAGCAATAAAATCCACAAAAAAAGATCATTCCTAACCGAAAGTGATTTTAAATTATTAAAATTTTAGTTACTGAGTATTGAGTCCCTTACCCTGCTTGTCTAAACTTCTGTTAACCAAGTACAAGTGTTATATCTAAACCTTCTCCAGAGTTAGTATGACCTCAGTGTGTGTACCTCGTATGTGTTTTAGTTGAATTCGCACAGCATTTAAGATCAGAACGACAGGGACATTCCCCTTCATACTAATAATAGCCTCAATGATTTTATGTTAATTTTTGGAACCAATCAGTACGTGCCGCGCGAGAAAGCTAACTTGTTTGTCAGGCTTTGTATTACTTATGTTTGACCTATATATAGAATGTCAGGAAAAATTCCCGCAGTGTCATCACTTTCGGTTTCCTTTCACCGAATATCACGGTTTTTGCGAGAAGCTTATTTAAACAATGTTTCTTATGGATTTTTCGCTTCCTTAAGGTTTAACGTTTAAACTTTTGACAGATATGGGTTTTTGAGGTATGAAGAGTTCTGTCAGGCTTAGATGCGCGCGACAGAATTCTCACCAAACGAAAATACTCAATAGCGCTTTATACTAATGACGTCATGAAATTTTAGACCCCCCCGCATGACTCAGACAAATAAACGCCCCCATGACCTCCCCCTGAACATTACATGACGCTCTTCCTCATTTAACGCTGCATACGGTGAACAAATTCTTTGGCTTTATCGTCAATCTTTCTCCATATTTTATCACCACGGCGACAGGAATCTCCTGAGCCACTGTCGTAGGAATCCAAAGGTACTGTTAACCTTGTTGATTGATTTCTTGTAGGGCTCACTTGCTCTCTTGAAGCTTCATTGATTGCGCTTTTTTCATGCTTCGTATCCGAATCTTTATTTATGTGCTTTGGATCATGGTAAGTAGGTAGACTTCCTGAGGGTTTCCCTGGTTCCATGCTGTTGAGCTCATTCTTCAAATTCTGAAGATCCTCTCCAAGGGTGGTGGCTCGGTACAACATCTTGCTGAGATGTCGACATGGTTTGGATGAAGGGCCTGATGTCATTGCACATTGCATGTATGCCTGTTCGATCTCTTTTACTGTGTGATCAGAATGTGTGGCAAAATACTGCTCCATTTCCTCTCGGTCTTTCACTTCTTTGCTTGGGTTCGTTCTCTTTAATTTCGAAGTAACTGTTAGGATAGGGTGAGCTGCAGCTGCAGAGATTTTAGCTGCGATGGAGAGCGAATAGTTGCATGGTTTCTCTTTTCTGCTTGGAAGGATGCTTCGATCCCAGCTGACGAAGAATTTGTTTCCACCCACATTACCTCCGAAACATTCAAA